ACTTTTGAGAATTTTCTATTATTCTATCATACTGGTAAATATTCTGTTCCTTTGTAGTTATTTAATTTTAAAAATGATGCTAATATCTTGTCTTATGAGTTATTTTGTAATATTTTTACCCAAGGAAGAAATTTCAAACCAGACCTGCTGAAAATCAAACAGTCAAATAAATGGGAATACAGATAATTAAGTTTATTTGTATTTGCCCTAGTATGTAACAAATTCTTAGCAGCAAATTTACCTCCATAATTATTCTGTGTAGGCTAATGTTAAAGTTGCTAAATATCTCAAACACATTTTTGTATAGTAGAAAGAATACAGAATCATGAACCATCTACTTTAATTCCCTTCTTTTAATTCCCAGGAAAACTGAGGTACAGAGAGATATTGGAGATACTTGCCAAACATTAAAGCAAAGGTCAGGATGGGAACCCATGTCACTTATTCCAAATCTAGTTCTAATGAACAGATAATGTAAATCAAATGGATTAAAATTTGCTATGGATAATCCACAAAATAAATGACAGTAAGTTGAGTATTTAGGAGAAAATAAACTTTTCTGCAGAAGATTAAAATTATATTTTACCAGCCATTGACAAAATAACTTCATCTTACTCAATTTTAGAGGACAGAGTAAACATATCATATAGGAAGAATTCTTTAAAAGCAAACTTAATTACTGTTATATAATAAATGCTGTGTAACTACTTCAAAAAACTCCCAAATTCCTTCTTGTAGGAGTTACTGGGATCAACTCCAAAAGTCTTCAGTATAACGACTGGGAAACCCTCATATCCATACCAGGTTATTCAAAAGGAATCTTCACAATGCCCTTCCTGACACACCAGATAGGCCCTTTCACACCTGTACATCCAATTAACCTGAAACTGGAGCTATGAAGAAGTCAGGAACAAGTTGCTTGGTCACTGAAAAGATGCCAGTGATCCCATGGTCATCCATCTTTACCCTTCTAGATTTCATAGTGTAGTTCAAAATAATATAATGGGCTGGGACATCAGATATATTCAACGAATCCATCTCACATGACAATTTCAGCCCACGTGAAATCTTTGGAGGCTCACTGTCATGAAAAATTCATCTACAGAATTTTCTGCCTCTTTACATGCTTAACCACTGCTGTGGTGCCAAAATGGATACTTACTCTTAACATACTGTAGTCTTAGAGCAAGGGTTAACTCTAAATCACAAAAAGAAAGAAAGTAAGAAAGAAATTATACTGAAATAAAGATTTTTTTTTCTCCATCTAAGTTTACAGATGACCTGATTTTCTTATTTGAAAGATCTCTTGAATTTATTGTTGCCAGTTAGAATGATCAATGCTCACTCACTCTCATCACAAACACTCACTACTACCTAAATCAATAACCAATTCTAATTGGTTGTTCAAGATGTCTATCTAGCTTGCTAAACAAAAAATTTTGCCTGAAATACAATTAAGTGCCTGCCTGTAAGACACTGTGTTGGGGAAAGGGGTAGGAGAGTAGTAGTCTCTGCTCTTAAGAAACTGATATTCTATTGGGTCAATTAGTGAAGCCATAAATTCCATCCTTCTCTTTATTCCTGAACAGCTCTGCTACAATCTTGCTTCTGAATACAGGTAAGGACTTTTTTGGAAGGGGAAGCAATAGATGAAAATATAAAATAAAAAAAAACAAATAATCAATGGGGGAGAAATCCAGCCCAAGTAGAAATATCCTAATATATAGTTCATCCTAATAGTTCTTAGCCATCCATTTAAAGCCCTTTACAATCCAGTCCAAACTAAAATTTCAACTCACGACACCTGAGACTGTTCTACCAACACTTTTGTTCCAGTCAACTTGAACTACCTTTCCCTAGGTTCTTCCTTATACATGTAAAAGTCCTGCTATTCAGGTCCCAATTCAAGTGCTACCTCCTCCATCAAGTCTCATCACATCAGCTAGAAATGATTTGGGGACTAACATTGCTTGCACAACTTTTATGACACATCACTTTCTGCCTTGTTCCAGTTATCAATAAAATTATAAACTTCTTAAAGTTAGGGATTGTACTAAAGTCCTCCTTTCGCCTCCCAGGGCACAATATACATAAGAAATAAAATAAATATTCATTAAATTAGTCTTTCTCAGTCTCCTTTTTCCTTCCAAGCCCCATTCCCCCTGTAATAAACTCCCCAGCAAAAAAGGGGCACTAATATCCACAAGCATATATAGCTCTACTGATTGAACTTTATGAGTCTGGACAGGTATATGTCAGGAAAGAGTTACTTAGAATGCATACTATCTGAATTGGGGATACAAAAAATCTTTAGGAAGCAGTTGACATATGACCCAAAGCTCTGACTGGGAAAAGAGGCAGTAAGGGGCAGGGGAAACAAAACAAAACAAAAAAAAGTGTCGTTCTTTCTCCCCCCCCCCCATTCAGACCCATCTTTCAATTCAGAGTATCTTTGATCCTTTCCTTTGAGGACTATGGAATAAAGGTAGCTAACCAATTTTCTGTATAGTTTTAAAAGACCTATTTACATAGTTTATCAAGTGTTGGAAATTCAAGTTGAAATCAAAATACAAAATTTGCTCAAGCTGAAGCACTCCCTCAATATTTTCTCCCAGTTTAGTGCTTCTTCAGTTCCCTCCAGCTTGATTGTTTTGATCAATGCTATGTGATGTAAAGCATAAAATGGGAAAAAAAATTTACAGTCATTTACCGTGTTCCAATCTTTCATAATAATAGTTCTTTAAAATATACCAATTACTTTGGTATCTTAAGAGATTCTTGTTTATAACTCTGCTTACTTGAATACACTCAAACCTTATAAAAACCTCAGATAATATACATATTTAAAACATAACAATAGTATTATTATTATAACTAACATATATAGTGGTTACAGGCATTGTGCTCAGCACATCATAATTATTATCTCATGGGGCAGCTAGGTGGCGCAGTGGACAGAGTACCAGGCCTAGAATCAGGAGGACCTGAGCTCAAATCCAGCCTCAGACCAGACACTTGACACTTACTAGCTGTGTGACCCTAGGCAAGTCACTTAACCCCAACTGTCTCGCCCCCCCCAAACAAACAAACAATTGTTATCTCATTTGATCCTCACAACAATCTGGGAGGTAAGTGCTTAGTATTATCCTCATCTTATGGTTGAGGAAACAAGAGCAGACAGAGGTTAAGTAACATATGTGCCCAAGGTCATAAAGCCAGTAAATGTCTGAGGTCACATCTGAACTTGGGTCTTCCTGATTCCAGGCCCAGCAGTCTATCCACTGTGACACCTAGCTGCCTGATTAAAAAGAATACCACCTTGTTATTTCCTGAGAAGGTACAAGAAGTGAGGATATGACAGGTCCTTCTCTTTCTAGTTCCAGTTTCTCCTGAACTTAGTTCCTCTTTCAAATTTCAACAGTACTCCCATACCTAGATCTATCTTGCACATTTGGTTATTCTGCAAAAACATTTTCTCTAGGGCTCATCTGAACTGAATTAGCTATGTCAGTCTGGAAGGGTATGTTTTTCTTATTTTGGGGGCCTGAGAACATACCCCAAGTTTGCCACTTTAAATATTTTAAACAAAATTTTCATTACTAATAAGAGTTTTCTGCATTAAAAATAGCTTTTGAAGCTTTGAAATCTGATCTAGATAAAAATATTGTGTAATTATAAGGAGAACCTGTGGTTCCACTTATTTTCCAAGTTGTATTTATGCTCTCCTGTAGCCTATCAGTGAAAGACAAGTTAAGTCACCATCAGTGCTTTGAGGAAAACAAGGCTGGTGACAAGAGGAAATAATAATAGGCTAAATAAAGATTTTCTTTATAGCTACAATCCTTCTATTTATTTGTACTTCCATCTCCTAATGATTTCCTCTACTTCATTTGTCCATAAACCTAACTGAACAGAACAGTGATTTTGAAGTTTTGAGACTGACACCTTTCTACACTGCTTTTCATATCCTAAGAAGGACAGGTTATCAGAAATGATGTAGTAGAAAAGAGATGAATGAATTATGTCTGCAATGACCATACTTTCAAGATATCCCTGAATACTTCATGAAACCCTGGGAATTTTAATGAGCACAGGCAAAAAAAAATTCACTGGAAAAAAATGAGAGAGGAGTTTGGAAAAAGGGAAAGAAAAAGTAAACAAAGCAGCTTATGTCAACAAACATTTGTTGCTTTAGTAAAGTCTTTAAAATCTAGTGCAGTGTAACATCCTTCTGCTTTTTATCCCTTGCCCTAATTAAGTACTATTTTATACTAAATAATTTATAAAATGTAGGGAAAATATCTCCCTTAGACCTATGGGTAGAGATAGCTGAAAATAAGCAATCTGTGTTTCCTTAACTCTGCACCTATTTTTATACAATATTTCAACAAACTTGTATTATATATAAAATTAGAGGTCTTATTTTAGGACTGTCACATGAGAAAATGAGACTACTAAATTTAACTATAAAAAACTGGATTTCCTATTTGCATAAGAAATATTCATTGCTTAAGTACTAGTTATATAACCTTTAATTCTTTGAATTCCGTTTCTTTAAAATTAAGTTATAAAGAGAAAGAATAAGACATCATGATTAATAATTATAAATTAAATTTATTAAAACTTATGTTTGCATAATGTAGATATAAACTTTCTCAGATGCCAAAAGTGTATCTTCCACTGCTGTGCGCACAATAAAAAATATATATGTATGTAAATGTGTGTGTGTGTGTGTGTGTGTGTGTGTGTGTGTGTATGTATACTGAATCAAAAAAAAAGCATATAAGCAAGAAATTGCTTGGATGGTTAATGGTGAAGCCAAATGAGAATGCTCTCAATGGCACAGCAAGCCCCAAATTTGAAGTTCAAGCACACTTGGGGAACTGACTTCATATACTCATTCTAAAGCCCATGTAAAGGGAGCAACAATTAGCATGGGAAGAGCAGCTGTCACTAAGCCCTAGCAACAGCATTAAGCAGCTACTTGCTTCCCAACTTACCATCTTCCTTTTCCTTTCTGCAATCTGCTCCTCTGATTCCATTTCTACTTCATTGCTAATAGCAGTTTTTTCTTCTATATCATCAATAAAATCTGGCTCCTGAAAGATGGAAATGACTGCTTTACAGAAGCTCCACTAGTCCATCTATAAACTAGGGAAATCTACTAACTGCATAGAGGTGCTTAAATGTCCTTAAACCACTATATCAAAAGTAAACAACCAGTTACCTGCTGCAACAATTTATAAACTACAACCTATTTAGACCTACTTGTGAAACTAGATGTTTCCTGATTGAAGAAGCTGCTCAAATCCAAGTATCCAAGAGTTCTGTTTTGTAATTAAAACCTCACAAAATTGAAGAACCCTCAAAATTTTTTCAAAGGTTGTTTACACAGTGAAGACATAAACATAGTCTTATGCTATATAATTGCATTCATCCCAAAATTGTATAACAGTACACTTGCCCATAGACACACTGCTTAATAGTGCCTTGCACATATTAAGCAGTCAAATAGTTGTTGATTCACAACCTGAGATGACATTACTTTCCAGAATAATTACCATCAGCTACAGAGAACAGATAAACGTATTTGAAATTGATTTAAAAAAAACCCCTCACTTAACGTTTTCATTTTTGTGGTGCCTACAAAATTCTATTTCTTACTGACTAAATGATCTTAAAATACACACAAACCACCACCACAACCAAAAATAACAAAGAACACCATTACATTTGAAAAATAAACAGTAAGATGTCTCAAAAATCTTATTGACTCTTGATTGATTTTTACTCTACTAAAAACAAGGTTATTTAATTGTATTTTTATCAGAGAAACAGAAAAGAAGTTCACTGCTGATGCTAGAATGATTTGAATATTTATCACAGAATCCAAGAAATCAGGGAAAAAGCATCAGAAGATTCTGATTTTTGCCTAGTTTTCTTTAATGAAGCCAGTATGAACATCATGGAAAAGCCTACATTCAAGAGAAAAGGAAACCTATCAAAAAGTATAAACCTGTTTTACCAAAGTAGTAATACCCAAGAATGAAATAAACTCTCAATAACCCTTCTTTAATGATAACACTGCAGGTACAAATTTTGGTAGAATCTACCTTAACTAAGACAATAGAATTACTTTAAAAATGAGAATATTTAAAAGCAATGTTACTATAAATGCAGAATTTTTAAAATAATGGATTAATAAAAATCCTTTCCCTTATGTTTTATAAAATTTCATTATATTCTCTGAAAGTTAATATTTGCATTGTGTATATTTCAGTACCTGATTATTTGATATAGATAGTCTCAGTGGAGAAAGTTTTCTTTGTTTATTATCTGGGCTCCTCATTTTGTTGGTGGCACTTTCACAATCCAAAGTAATATTTTGATTTTGTGTTTCTTTTTCTTTTGAAACGTCCTTCTCTTTTTTCCCTTTTTTCCTTCTGGTTTCATAACTACTATTGATGTTTTCCGTTGGTTCAGAACACCGTTTTAAAACTGGACATTCAGGATTTTCTTTGAGGCATGCACAATCCACCTTATACTTGCTGGGGGGTAGGGGAGAAGAAACATATAGTTAATATTTATTAATAAACGTGATTATAAAAACATCAATTTAATTGATTTTCAAACATCTGGCATTATGTTTTCATAAATTCATCTTACATTAATTACAGACAGTTGACTCATTTTATAGGAGGAACAAAAATCTAATTAAGAAATGAATTTTTCATCAAAGACTGAACACCAAATTGGGGATATGACCAAATACATCACAAATGCATAGATATTATAAACTTATTCATAACTCTGAATAGTAAAATTACATTCAATCTTTTAAATGGGCATATACTCTGCACTTACATGTTCTAGGAGGATGGTTTTTCTCTCCCAATTAGTTTCCCATAATAGGCACATGATCATAAGACTTAGTCCTAAAAGATTTTAGTGATAGCCTTGGTTGATCTCCTTTTTCAAGAGGTGAAACAACAAATGCCAAAAGATATTAAGTGACTAATTTAAAGTGACAAGCTTAGTTACAAGAGCTGGCATCTGAACCTAGATCTTCTCCAAATGTAACCGAAACATTCAAAATAATCTTCCTGACCTTAGAGCAACACTTTTCAAAAACTAACCCTATTACCACTAGATGTCACACTAGTGCATAATTAAACTATCAACAAATGTAGTAGCAAGAAACACAAGTTGGCCTTTAAAAAGAAAAAAAGAAACAGCCAAATTCTAAATTGGTAAAGGTGAGGAAACACCTTATAGTTCAAACATTAAGCCAAAAATCAAAATTACTCCTAAAACTGAGCTCAAACAGGCATTAGAAAATAGGTGAAAATGAACAATACTGATTTAAAGTTTCATATATTAATAGAGGCTTATTTAAAGTTCTAATAAAATCTCCTATGTTCAAGAATGCATTTCATGAAAGGCAACTATGAAACATGTAAAGGTACTTATTATGACTTTATACTTTTATAATGCTTTTATATTCTCTTCTGCACTATAACTATTGTATGTTTATGTATCATACCTCCCTCTCCACCCTGTTAAGCTCTTTAAGAAGAATTATATCTTAATTATCTTTGTATTTTCTCTAGTGCAGTTCTTTGCACATGGCCAAGTGTTTAATAAATGGATACTGAAGAAAAGGACAGCCCCACCCCTACCCCAACTAGAGGACAGCTCTTGGATAGCAGTCCTCTCACCCTTCGAGCCTTGAGAAAAAGATGCACACCAAGGCTTTTGAGAACTTGCTATGGGTCTCCCCACCACCTGGGGACTCTCTTTTTTTGCAGGGATGAGTGTTCCAGCTTCTTTCACTATTTCTTCATTAGCCCATTCTCTGGTGGTAGCAGCAGTACTGAAGACTTTTACGAGTTATGGTGGCATGTCTGGCTCCTGCTTCCTGAGGTCAGCTCAGGTACTCAGTAGCCAGCTTGGGGAGAGCCATCCATGTAGGCCCCAGCCCTGTTGGACAGGAGCAAAGGAGTGAGAACATGTCAACCAGACATGCCACCATCACTCATCACCACCAATGGAGAGAAGAGGGAATACTGAGAGAAATAAGGAACACTTGACAAAAAAACCTACTTCTGGGACAAGCTAGGTAAACTGTACCACCTATTGTTCACTGGAGGATTTCAGCCTCCATTTTAACATGTGGGGCTGAACTTAAAATAAACTGCCTGTGTGCCATGCATGGAAAGCAGGATTTTGTCATCAAGACATGAACATTAATGAAAATATTAAGTGACAGTGCTACTTAGCTCTATATTTCTCATCTTTTTCAGCTACCTATTCTTAGTCCTGTATTTGGGAACAGCTACAGTTTTGAAAGCAGCTCCTGGCACATGTGATTTCTGTTAGTCTCAGAATCATGCCGCCAAATGGCCTAGCACAGCACAGGCTGCCAACCTTGGTTTACAGTCAAAACCATCTGGTTTAAATCTGATACCAATCACTTCATTACTATCTTCAGATTTATTTGCCCCATAAACTAAAAGCTCAATAGTATTCTATAAAATTGTTTAGTAGAAGCATTAAGTAAAACAGCAAATCAAAAGTACAGTACAAGCATTTTGGGGAAAGGTTTATTATTCAAGATTTTGCTCTGGCCATGGATTCAAAATTCAAAATGACAGCAAAACCCATCTTCACCCAGAAAATTACTGCAAAGACTATTATAAAATTAATCCTTAAACTATAATAGATTAAAAAAATTTTTTAAGTGCTTTGTTCTCGGGGTTCTTCCTTAAACTCACGTAAGGGAAGCTGTTCTTGAGAAATAAACTTAATGACCTAAGAGGAACAATAGATATCAGTGCAGAAGAGATCAAAGCTTAAAAAAAATCAGGCATATCTTTTAAACAAAGTGAATAAGTCAAAAGAAAATGTAGAGAAAATTGAATTTGCTACAGAAAGATATCCCAAGTCTTAGCGCAGTTTTAAATTTTAATAGTTTAAAACTGCATTAAGACTTCTGTGACACCTTGTACATCAAGTCAGAATGTCTATTTTCTGTAAAGTACTGCTAAAGATCATTGCTTTGAAGCCCTATTTTCATAAAACTAAGGAAGAAAGAACAAAGCAAGGGGCAGCCAGGTGGCGCAGTGGATAGAGCACTGGCCCTGAAGTCAGGAGGACCTGAGTTCAAATCCAGCCTCAGACCAAACACTTGACATTTCCTAGCTGTGTGACCCTGGGCAAGTCACTTAACCCCAACTGCCTAAAAGCAAAAAAAAAAAAGTTACCAACTATGACAGTGAATAATGAAACAGTATCAGGGTTCTGTTTTGCTCCACATCTCTTCCTAGATTCTCTGATACAGAAAGACAGGCCAAGTATAAATGCTTTAGTACTAGGCTACTCAACTTCTGATAAAGACATCCAAGTTATCTGCTGTGGGAGCAGTGCCAGCACTCCATTTTGGGAAGGGAGATATAAGCTACAAGAAATCTTTGACAGAACAAGAAAAAAGGGTATGAAATTGAGGAAAATCAAATTTGATTTTTACCTACATCTACATTTAGCCTTACTATTTTGTAGTCTTCAGTCGTATTCTGGGATGCTAATGCTTCTTGAATTGGTTTGTCAAGACCTCAAATGTTCTTATAGAACATAAGATTTAAAATATAGTTGCACTACCAGCACCTTTTTTTCTACCATTTCTGCTCACATTCAACTGTGACATTTAGGGTGGCAGAGAACTGAGAGAATCATTAAAAGTCATTAAAAATCATTAAGAGGTTCAATTTTCCATCACAGTATTATCCATTAAACTGAGGAGAAGGCAAAGAGATTTAGTTCTTTTTCGTTGTTTAAGAAATTATGGTAAGGGCAGCTAGGTGGTACAGTGGATAGAGCACCAGTCCTGGAGTCAGGATGACACATAACACTCACTAGCTCATGACTCTGGGCAAGTCACTGAACCCTAACTGCCTCAGCCCCTCCCCCCCAAAAAAAGAAATTATGGTAGCAGATTCCAGAAATCCCTAAACTTTTCAAAAAGTATCTCTTTCCCTAAATGAGTCAACTTTATCCCCCACTGACAAAGTATCTGTGTAGTGGTTTGACAGTATTTTCATTTAATTTTTTTTATTTTTTAAGGCAACTGGGGTTAAATGACTTGCCCAGAGTCACACAGCTAGTTAAGTGTCTGGTGTTTGGTCTGAGGCTGGATTTGAACTCAGGTCCTGACTTCAGGGCCGGTGCTCTATCTGCTGCGCCACCTAGTTGCCCCCTTAATAGTATTTTTATATGGAGTATTATAATTCCCAATCCTTGGTACTTCTGTTAGCACCAGGACACGTGATTAGTTGGGGGGAGGGGAAGAGTGAAGGACAGGAGGAGAGGGAAAACACTTGACTTGGGATTTTATCAGTATAAAGAAATTTCAGTTGAGGCTTTAAATTTACCAGTGTAGACAGGCACTTTCTCTGCAATTTAGAGTAGCCCGAGACATTGAGAGATTAGGTGATTTGTCTAGAATCACACTGCCAATATGAGTCAGAGGTGGGTCTTCCTAATGCCAAAGCCAGGTCACTATGAAACTCCACCTCACCTTTCTTAAAGACAAAAAGGATTTTTTTTTACTGAAAAATTTATGGTTACTGTCATCTAAAACTGGAAAGTACAGGAATTAAAAGTATTTCTGCTTAAAGTATTTTTAATAGAATTAAGCACTCTCTCCTTTCTTTTAAAGAAAGATAAGTCATTCCCAGATACTGTATTGGATAAAAATATTTATGTGCTTTTTTTCTTTTGAATGGCTTTTATATAGAACAAAAATTAATAGATTCTTGATGTTTCACAAATTAAATGGCACCTTTTCAAGGAATCTAAATCATTTCATTCCTTTCTTCTATGTACAAAACAAATAACAAAACCTAAAAAATCACTCTCAGAAGCTAACAGTATTCAAAGAATGATAACTGTCTATGGATTAAAAAAGGCACTATGTTATATGTCCCAAATTACTTTCAATTATTAAAGTTACTTTTAATGAATACAAATTTGCTTCATTATGACTAAAGCAATGAGAATTGAGAAAGCTATTATCTCTTCGTTTTTTACTAATGGTAGAGTAGGAGCACTTCTATGAAACCCATCACAAAAAAATCTTAATTGATTACATTAGAAATAGTAAGTAGTAACTACATATGGTTTATTACTCAAGTCCTGTGACTATTTTAAAAACATGTATGCAAAATGGTTAACTCTTACACGTACCAATTTCCATAGTCAAAATCAAAAGCAATAGTAATTTCAGTTCCCTTTGGAATGCTCTGGATGGAGTAAATATAAAGATGAATGGTTCCATCTTCAATGACATGCCTCACCTAGGGAGCAAATAAAAATGAAGCTTAGTCCACAATTTTTAAGAAATATTTTTATCCAAAGAAAATCCAGACAATATTCATTTAAGAAACATATATTAAAAAATGTATATTCATTATTATGATAATTCAATATTATCATGTATATTCATTAAGCTAGGTTCCCTGAAAAGACTGAAATTTAATGAAATAATGAACCTGATTTTATGCTGGCTTATAAATCGGTGATATTAGTATAATCATAATTAGTAACTTTGCTTAATTAACTAACACTTTTAAAAAACCTATTTATATAAACTATAAAAATCTTCTTGCCTAAATCTTTAAGCAGTTTTTATCCTTATAGGACCATCCTAGGATTTTAGAACTGAAAAGAATCTTAGAGATCATATAGTTCAACCACCTCCTCGTTTTTACAGATAAGGAAAATTGAAGCTAATAGGTTAAATGACTTACAAAGTAAGGGGACAGTAGTAAGGGGCACAACAAGGGCTTGAACCCAGTTCTGACTGACTCTAAATCCTGTGCTCCCCCTTCTTTATACTATGGGACCTGCCACCATCTGGTAAGGTACCAAATCAGATCACAAACTTCATGGAGAATGAACTAGATGACCTGGAATAAATATAAATCTTTGTAATTAGCATATCACAAATGTTTTTGTGAGGGCACTGAAAGATGAAAAGGCACAATTAAAAGAAAAGTGTTAACACAACCTCTTTAATGAAAAAAAAATCCATGAAAGGTTGCACATATCTAGCAAATAAGAAATCATTTTCAGCTAAAGAAACTGATGCACAACAGCAGGTCAGTCATTTAAGATTGATTTTAAAGAATCAAAATATTACTTCTATATTTAAAACCTCAAAAACAACCTACCTCTGCATTTGGTGTACAAGAACGCCTAATGAATCGAGCCTCATTTCCAAAAGTCCTTGCATCAACACACATTTCTAGCCCATGAAATTTAGAGTAGAACAGAACAAAAGGATATGGCCTGCAAAGGAAAAGGGCTATCATTCACTGGCAGTTTAACAAGGCAAATTATTAAATTTCAAAAATTCATGTTCTGATTAGGTCTAATTGTTGCAAAGGAAAATTAAAATAATAGTCATAATGAATATTAGGGTGAGGTGGTTCATTTTGGTGGGATGAATAAGTTTCTAGTAGCCTCATTTCCTATGTATAGGAATTAAAAAAGAAGCATAAGACAAAAACTATCTTAAACACATCAGCCACCTCCCTCCTCCCTGACTTTTATGTGTTTCATGCTTGGATGTGATTGGTATTTTGAGACTTTAACTTAAGTAGTTTATGTTCAAGATGGAGGGAAAAAATGGAGAAAATTAAAGAATAAACATGTATTTAATAAAGATTCTCTTTCCCTCTGCACTGCCAAGAACACAGAATAAATTTTTTTTCTTCATATAAGCCTCAGAATGTAGAAATAGCTCCGGCAAATTTAGCCATAAGATAATGTTAACTATAAAGGATTCTACTATTGATGTACATATGTACTTTACCTTAAGCAAAACACACATCTGGAAATCCAGTTTACAAAAATAAATTACTGAGTTAGTATACCCTGTTGAAGAAGCAATCACCAAAGGATATTTTTACATTGCATCTTTTTAGTGCAATTAAATGACTTTATAGATCACATAACATCTACATGTGCAAGCACATCTATATATATGGAACTAAAAGATTAACAATTAGCAGGCACATGTAATAAGAAATATTGAATGATTAGTGGATATCAGCTAGGAAACGGGACTTAAAACTCAATTGCTGGTTAAAATACTCAAAAAACAAGCAATGACCTGGGATCCATGCAACTACATCCTATTGAAATTCCCAGAAGTTAATGAGATGATAGCTGCCAATGAATCATAATCTCTACACTTCTGGCGTATATAAGATTCAAAACAGTCAAAACTGCATACAACTACATATTATTCAGGCTTTGGGGAATCAAAAGTTTGAGAAAAGTGACTCAAAATGTGACTCTCATTCTTTGCTTGCATCATACACTGCCAGATTTGGCCCTGCTCAGTTTAGAAAGTATATGATTGGGGCCTATTGATGGCAACTCCTACTATCATCTTCCAGTGCTCTAGTTTATGATATGAAAGAACTGCATAGCTTTTGGACCAGGCTCCCTAATAGTAAGGATCCCGCTAGGTGTAGTGCCATACATCTGTAACCCCTACTACTGGCAAGGCTGAGTCTCGAGTATCTCTTGATCTTAGAAATTCAGAGCTACAGGGGGCTGGTCAGATCAGGTGTCACAGTCTAGCATCGATACAATAGAAGCCCTGGGAACAGGAGTTTGGCAAGTGGCCTAAGGAAGTAAATAGGCCTAGGTCAGAAATGAAGTAGGTCAAGAGCCTAGTGTCAGTCATTAGTGGTATTGGGCCCATGAGTGGCACCTGAATTTCTATTTTATTGAGGCCAAGAGACAAAGTCTCAAAATAAAGAGAAATACAAAACAAATAACAACAAAAAACACCAAGAATTACTTATAATAGCCTCCCCCTCTCATTATTTTCCATAGATACTATTTTAATTTGGTTATTAAGACAATTAGAAGATAGCTAAAACTCTATTAAGGGATATCCTTACAAAAGTAAAATATTTTAAATTGCTTTTTATAAAACATTCCTTTAGATATCACCTCATAATCTTAAAGAGTTTTAATGACCTTAGAATTTATACTTGTCCAACCCTCTTAGTTTCTAGTTGAAGAAACCTGATTCTAGAGCAATGGCTCTCTACCTTATTTTTTTTTCTCAGAGTAGAGTAAAGTAATCAAAGCACAATGAAAATTTACACTACAAATAAAAAACAGTTCCTGCACAGTTGGGCCTTCAAAACCATTACCCAGGCCTATAGGTGAATGTATAGTTTCAAATCTTTGAGGATAAAGAAGCTATTGCATGAACTTTCAGACTGCTAAGCCAGGAAGCCCAGTCAGTAAAGTATAATCGGGGGCAGGAGCTGTAGAATGGAGAATCTGGATGTGGGGTGGAAATTTTGTTGCATGATCTTTAAGAACTATCTATCGCCCTCTTGGAAAAATTAAAGGATCTGCTCAAGGTCACAAAGCAAGTCATTAGCAAACACAGATCTGCCTTCATTATTATTTCAAAATGGGCAGTTTCAACCATTAAGAAAATTGGAAAAAAGTAGTTATAAATAAATTAGTGCTGGTTAAAAAGTCAGATATTTTAAACTTAGTTCATTTCAAAGTAAATGATAAATTTAGTTTAAAGAAAATAACAAAGACAACAATAAAAAATTAAATATGTACCTCTTAAAGAAATATCCATTTGCTTCAAACTGTTCTCTTAGCATAAACTTCCCTCTGTATTCAATAATAAGGGCATCAGGAGGCAAATCTTTGGCAGATTTCAGAATTTTCTTATTCTTTTGTATGTAGCTCTAAAAAATGTCAAAATTAAATTTTAGATAGAATCAGCTTAGAAATTATTACTATTAATTGCTTTATTAGCAAGTGGAAATACAAGTTTTTATCCAATCTTTCATAGTTACCTCTACAGGGGGCTTGAAGATCAGATTGCTGGCATTTGATTCTGATTTGTTATTCATCTCTTTCTTATCATTTCCACTGCCTAATCGTAAAGCTATTCTTTGTGCCTCTCTCTGGACACCTTCACTGTACTGGTTATTATTTGCTTCCTCATAACGATCCATCCAAGCTTTAATTTTAGTCTCCCATCCAAAATTTGACCCATCAGAAGGCTCAATCTCTGGAGCTGAACCCTAGAAAAAAGATCACAGCAAATTTACTATAACGTTTACACTTAATAGGAATTAAAGTGCTAACCTACATATTATAAAAACAGAAACAATCCATAATATACTAACTATAAACACAGAAATCATGTACAAGATAAGGAAAATGATTTTAGTTTCCTGAAGTAGCACTACTAAAAAGAATATAGTAGTTTAGTATAGTAGTTAGCTGGTAACATAGTAGTTAGCAACATCTTGACAATGTAGCAAGAGTGTAGAGAAAGCTGAAAGGATATGGGCAAGATAGGCTAGGGTAACAACTGTTCAGTGCTCAAGTCATCTGTGTGCCCCAAACAACAGGTAAGTAAAACAGTAATGTCTACCTGTAATAGTGCAGCAGCTAATGGCAACTGTGCCATTTCTGTTCCTACCATTGCCTGAAACTTCCCATACTTGATCTCTCTCTTTCTCACACCCACACAGCCACCTTTAAAAGTTATCATAAATCTATTTAAAATTCAAATCCATTTCTTTACAACTTGATCTGAAAAACTATCAAACTGTATCCTATAGGTAAGAGACAAACTGCTTTTCTTAGTTACCATCACATGCTTAAGATCTAAAAATTTCTGTTAAAAAAAGGTTAATAAGCCAAAGTGTATTTTGAAGAAATGTGTTAAAAGTGTTTAATTCTAAGGTTGGAAATCTAGATCTCGTGGCCAAAAGTGAAATAGTAAAAATCCCTGACACAGACCACTAAGCTTGGCTTTTCTAGGCTTGGCTGTATTCCTATAAATTCCATTTCTTTGAAAGTTGAAATTAAATTATATAGCCTGACAAGATTAGACTCATAAATGGCAGATGAAACAGAGCACTCAACCTTCTTCAGTGTATTAAAATGTTTAAAGACAAATGGGGGACAGATTTATACATGGAATCTTAGTCAAGTTTTACCATGCAACATGGACTTTATGAACTTAGGAGTATGTATAACAAATCTGTGAAAATTTAAAATCATATTTAGTGACTCAAAACTACAATATTAAGTAATTGTACAGGATTATAAATTACAAGCATTTTCTTTCCTGTGAAGAAAAACTGAAGAAAATTGAAAGAAACTATGCTATGACTACACAGATTTAAACTCATATTAGAAGTGAGAATAGCATTCACTTTACTTTAGTTATGATAAACACAAAAGCTTAACATTGCACATAGACTGAATATCCTGTGCCAGCTTTGTAATGCATTAAAAAAATTACCAGATGACAAATATGACACTATCCTATGTAACTCTGAGTGACCATCTTATATATATTTTAATTTTAAGTCTTGCCATTGGCACTATAAACAAATGGTATACCTGCATACATTTGTAATTTTACCTACATTATCCATAATCATCATATAAGAATGATACACAGATCACAAAGAATAGCCAAAGCAAGAAGTATTCATATTTTTAATATCTTAAAATTTACTAACAGTATTAATGACATGGAATATCTTTTATGTAATTAATTTATACATACAACTTTCAGCCCATTTAAAATGGATATAACAACATGATACAAAGTTTTTAATATAGGGTATCCAATTTAAGGAAAGAATACATGTTACATAAATTTAAGAAGTAAAATGTATTTCTTAAAGTATTACTCATATATGATATAAAATTAAAGTTACTAATATTAAGAATGAAAAACTCTAAGCCCTGCTCTCAAAACTAGAACAAAATTAAAGACCTGCAATAATAGAATAGGTTAAAAGTTGGGTACAGAGTTGTCTATCTACCTAGAAACATGGCAATTTCTTCAACCTATAATAGATTCTTCTTTAAACTATATCCCATTACAATTTTAAATTATATACTAAAAACATATTTTTCCTACTTATTAACTGCCAAGAGAAAATCACCCTACATTGTCTTGCTCAAAATTGTAAAATAGGCAAATAGTCCAACTAATTCAAGATTTAAAAACAAAGTAAATGACTAAACTTGCTAAAAGGTTATTTAAGGAAAAGATGACAAATTTTACATTCCAAGTATAATTGACTATGTAATGATAGAAATGACAATTATTTGTCATGAGACAGGGAAAATATGGGTAATGGAAATGCAGGTGACCAAAAAAAAATGATACCCCTAATTTTAGCTCAAAGCTTAAAGAAGCTCATGCTACTCTCCCTTTACTCCTACCACATTTTAAAGAGTGCTATTAACACTGGAAATCTTTTTATATCTCTAGTACACCCTCTGGTGAAAGGATGACTAATGAACAGTAAACCTAAGGAGAAGTAAAGGTTCTACACAAACAACTAATTAGCTTTTGAATAATGTCTGGTTAATTGCATAAGTGTGAATTTTAAAAATATATTTACCTTAACTCTTGACGATTTCCTAGATCCTTCACGAAAAGACTAAAATAAAGACAGATGTTAGAGATTAGATGTATTCAAACTTTAAAATTTAAATATTAATAGAGCACTGAAGACATACTCTGCAGGATGCTAGATATTACGGGGAACACAGCTAAAAGACATGATTAATATCTGACACCAAGGAGCTTGAAATCTACTTGGGGAATTAAGACGAACAAATGCCTGCACATAATACAGGACAGAATATAATTAAATCCTAAATTGTGGCACAGACTATTTATATTCTATGTTTTGAAGGAAATGAGATAATTGAGAGCTGGATTAGTTAAAGATGGCATCATGGAGGTTAGGCATACATTCTAAGACTTAGGTAGGGAAGAGGGAGAAGTACAGCTATCCTAAGCATGGGAAAGAACATGACCAAAAGCACTGTCGTAAGAATAAACATGGTATATTCCTGGGAAAGAAGACCAGTCTGGTTAGAGCAACAGATGTAAAATCAGCAGTGGACTATTATATAAGGCCAGATAATTGTGAGCTAAAGTTATGTTACATAGGACTTTGAAGGACAGGATAGGAGGTCCCAGTTGAAACATTCTGATGTCACTATAAAATGGATCTTTTAAAGAAGAGTGACAAAATTAAAGCTATGTTTAAGGAGACAGAATAAAGGATGGACTGGAGAAAGAAAAACTGGAGTCAAGAATACCAAGCAGAATGCCTCTGCAGCAATCATTAGATGGTTAAGGGCTTGGACTAGCAAAGCAGCAATAAGGATGAATGGCTATAATATATTTGAAAAGGAAAGTGCAGCAGAATCTAGTGACTAAATGGTTATGAAAATAAAGTGAACAACAATCAGAGACGATGCCAAGGTTTCAAAACTGAATGACATAGAGAACTGGTGGTATTGCTGATAGAGGCAGTGAAGTCAGAAATGTGGAACTGATCTTGCCAAGGAATAGAATTTGGTGAGTTTGGATAAAGACACTGACTAGGAGGTGAAGACACAATATAGTAAAAAAGGAGCTTACAGTTAGAGTGAGTAAAGGAAAAAATTAGCAAAGGGAACAAAAGTGAAAACCTTTAGAGTATGTATGTCTCAATGGTTAACTACATTATTCTAATGCTTTAAACTTTTCTGATATGGATTTTCAATTTCTGAATCATCAAGTATTATATACTGTGAATAAGTCACAGAGGTTAGTGCAAGTGTGGTTTTTCTTTTATTGCTTTTCTTAGACATCAACTGTTCAAAGAAATTTTACTTTCATATTTATCAACCACAAATAACACTAAGCTAAAAAACCTCCTACAGCCCATTAGTTTCTTCTAAATATACTCAATTTTATCCCCAATTTGCCAAGAATATCTCAACAAAAATTAGAATTCTATACCCTCATTTTTTAACATCAAGATGTTTTACATAGTGGGGTCAGCAATAACCCTCGCACCCCACCTGAAATAAAATATATATGAAGATCGATTGAACTTTATCCTAAAATATGCCTTTATATAAATAGCAAAACATAAAGGCATTAAATAAGTACTTTAAATAAAGATTTTGGGAACATATACATGAATATAAACTTACAATGGTCATAGCACTTAAATTTTTCCACGAGATTTTTTAGAAAAGAAAAAATCTGACAATGAAAAACTAAAATTAGTAATATAAAAAAGCCATAATGTGTGCCAAATTGTCACACTTGGGTACCAGAAGAGAAATCCAAAAAGTGATGGTGCCATTTTAAGTTGAATGAATTTTAAAAGGAATTCTTCCAGAATGATTACTAAGACCTACAAAATTTCTACATAAATTTGATATGCAGTATTGTGAAAAAATGTTTCACTGAATATTAGAAAACTTTATTAAACACTGTAAATAAATATTATAAAGTACTTTATAAAACCTAAAGTGCTATAAATGTAAGCTATTATATTAAAGTGGCTTATAACTTTTACTGTTCACCAATCTCTTGAAGGACCTTACTAACTAAATTATATACTTAACATGAAAATCCCTCACAGTAAAAATTAAGTGATAAACTTATAATGATCGTCTTTCAACAAAGCAACTGCAGCCACATACCTATGCTTTTGTCTGCAATTATATCCAAATTTTCTTTGTCATAAGAGTTGTCCAAGATAACTTACCTTTTTGCATTTTGAAATATTTTGTTCTTTTTCCCCACTTTTTTTCCTTTTCTTATCATTGACCTTGGTAACTCTCGCAGCAGTTAAAGTTATCGTTGTTGGTGTATGCTGAAATGCAGTATATAATTCCACAGGAACCTCATCACCACTCTCTGTTGCACTGGTATCACCATCTTTCAATTCAAAATTGAAACAATGAACTTAATATCCCCCTCAATGTAATGTCTAAAAATAAAACTATTAGTCCATATTATAAACTAAAAGCTCTCAACACTTCTAGAATTTTGAAACCATATAACTTCTTTAAAACAAAAGAAAACATTTAAAAATCATTCTCTCACTTTAACCTAAAAATGCTATTATAGCACTACAGGCAGTATACTTCACTTTGCATAAAAGATGTTTTTTTTCCCCCTTGACATGCAAAATATAAATAAAAACAAATTCATTTAAAATCCATTGAAGGTGGCACACTACCATATTTTAGAAATATCCTTTTGAAGGGAAAAATCCTTTTGTAAATGAAATTATACAAACATTACTTTTGGATCAGAGGAAGTATGGCACAGTACAAAGAACAACAGTCTTGGGAGTCACGAGACATGGATTTTCGTTGCCTGCTCTCCCATTTAATAGCTATGTGACCTTCGCCAAGCTATTTAAGATCTCATGAATCTCAGTTTATTCACTGATGTAAGGATTATGCTAGACCACCAGTTTCTCACAGTGTGGTCCTTGAACCCTTGGAGGGTCCCCAATGTAAAAATTATTCTCATAATAATATCAAGTCATTATTTGCCTATTAAAATACTCTTCTGCTTTCCAACTACAACCCATGTGAGACAGAATTTTCTTCAAAACAATACACTGCAACAGACTGAATATGTAGATGTGAGTAGATGAGAATCCAAATGTCTTTTTTTAAGCCAGATATGAAAGACATTTGCAAAAATATATATAAAACAGTGCCAATCTCACTATTTTTGTTTTTGAAAACAATCATTTTTAATTAAAAATGTTATTTGTTAACAATGTAATGGGTTTATTATCTTTAAATGAATTAACATGTTTTTAAAATTATCAGTTTTAATTATAATACAATAAAATTGATAGATGTAATCCACATAAACAAAAAATCTTTAGGGTTCTCAGTAATTTTTAAGAATATAAAAAGGTCCTGAGATCAAAATCTTTTATGTAAAGTGTTATTTTAAATGATTAAGGTTTGGCCAACAAAACCTATAGTTAATTTTCAAAAAAATGAATAGTTTTTGAGAATTAAGAAGAAAACAACAAAAAAAATCCCCCAAAATTTTATCACTCTTAAAGAAAACTGATGATACAGTAAGGCAGCACAAAAACCAGAACAGGAAACACAATAATAAAGAATATTTACAGTTGTATAGTTGCAAATCAAAATAAGCCAAAATATCTCCTTTATGTGTATTTAAAATACTCAAGACTAAAAATTAAGATCAATTATTTTTTAAAAAGATGTTTCAAATATATCATTTCTCAATCTTTCTCAATCCAAGAGACTTACATCCAGCATAGCAGAGCATAAAATTTTGCAATTTCTCTTTCCATTTTTACACACCTGACATATTTTCCCTTTTCCGGCGTTGTAACAGCACAGCCCTCTCTTTATCCAAACTCCTAACACACACAAAAAAATTAGATAATTAGTTCATCATAAAACTACTCTGGTGTAGGCATGCAGACGTTCATACATACATACACATATATAATATATATGTATGGATATGGATATGAATGAAACTTACCTGCTTAAAAAATACCAAGCCTTAAAAGAACTTATTTTATGGAATTGGCTTCATAAAATATACTATGCATGCCCTTCTATGTGGATCCTTATTTAGTGAGCTTTATTTTAATTCACAGATCTTTATTTTGAAAAATCAAAGCTTAATTCTAGACCTTTGTGCCTTGCACATAAGAAATTAACATTTAGGAATGTAGCAAAGTTTTAGAAAGTAAACATAGGAAAAACAACTTTGATAAAATAGTACTTACATGTTACCTCGAATAAACATTCTGCTACGCTAAAAATGTTCATCAAAACTCTAAGAACAAATAATCTAATATCTAAGCTGCTAGCAATATTACTTGGTTCTCTTTAGAAACCGAATTCCTCAAAGCCTTTAAAAATTCAACTCAATACTTTTCAGCAACATAATTTTATCTTCCAAAAACTTTTTACTGTTTTACTTTTCTCACATTTACCTTTCCAAATATCTTTGCCAAGTAACATCTAGTTTGCCACACTGTAAATAAAACAAAGGACTCAACTATCCAATTTTTGCTTAGCAGACACTTGCCCCACTGTCTGCTGGAATATCATATAACTATCCTAGAAATGTCTACTTGACAATGATCAGATTTGTATAGTGCCTTAGCTGACTCTTTAGTTCTTAATAGCCTGTGTAATTAAACTAAAGTATGCATGGCCTTTATGTATCAAAACTGGTTTTAATGTGGTCATTTTCAGGCTTTAACAGAAATACAGTATGGAAAAGAAATAATAGCAAAGATAAGACAGACACATTTAAGTTTGGGGGTTCTTTTGGAGGTGGGTGGGTAGTGTCCTTCCAGTAACACTATACAGTGAATCTATGACTTAATAAATCAATTTCTTGAGATCAGAATTCTAATTTCTGGTAAGTGAGTAATACCATTAATATAAATATCACCAGACATACTACCACTCACCTAGGCTGACAACGTTCACACAGATATATATCAGGAATATGCTGCCTATCAATCCCCATGCAGTCAATATGTTGCCAAACACTTTGAAAAAAATAAAAAAAAAAAGAAAAGAAATTACTATTAGAAAAGACCTCTCAAAACTCAAGATAAGAAGTTTAATTCAACAAGTATTTAATGATTACCTACTATGTGCCAAGCACAGTGTTGTCAGGAATTTTTAAAAGTGTATGACATGGTCCCTGCCCCTATGGAGCTTACAATCTTGCTATATGAAACAATCAGAGTAGAAGAAGATTTTATATATATATGTGTGTGTGTGTGTGTGTGTGTATATATACATATATATGTATGTATGTGTGTATATATACATATATATGTATGTATGTGTGTATATATACATATATATGTATGTATGTATGTATATATAAAATCACCTGCTATATTAAATTACCTGCAAAAGATACAGGTGTTTAGGGATGGCTAGATGAACCTTTAGAGTATCAGAAAAAAAAAATTCTTGGAGAGGCTCAAACTTGACCTATATTTTTCTTGGGAAGACTAGAAGTGAGTGACTGAAGACTGAATGTGAACGTAGAAATAAACACAAGAGTATTAGGAAGATAGTAAAGTGATCAACCTGGACAGAGTAGGGGTTATTGTGGTGCTTTTGGGGAGATGGAGAGAATATGGCGAATAATTCCTCTTTTACTTAAATCTGAGTTTAAGAAACTGAAAAATCACGTAAGGTCTTAAAATATCAGAGTATTTAGATAAGCACCATCCCCCTGTTCCCCAATACTGGAAGGTTACTATATGTTTTTGAAATCTCTATTTTACAAAGAATCCATCAACAGTATTCAGGGAATAATCAGAAGCAGGGAAGAAAGACGACTGACTAGGATTAAAAACAGTGACAATGGAGAAAGAAGGAATCTAAGAGAAGTTCCAAAAAGTCTAAAGTCAAATTTATTTTCTTTAATCACTTCACCCAAATGTACTTAGTACAACTAGACAATAAACATCTCACTTTCTTTTCAAAATATTTATTGGGTCTTACACTTGACTGTTTAAATTACACATATCTGTACTTGTTTATAAAAATCTTGGCTATTCCTATACAGAAAACTCAGCTTTATCAACTACATTTATTAAAAAATTTGTTTCATCAACTTCTGTCTTAGTAAAACTATTTAGTGAAATAATCCAGGTATGCAATGGACAATATATGAACTAAGGGGGAAAGCAGGTGCAGAAATGTTATCCATTTATTATTTATTATCCATAAATTAGATTAGAGATAATATGGGGCAGGATGATGACTGGTCGGATTTGGGGGATAGGAGATATACAAAGAAAAGCAGAAAAGAGGGGAACAATTGGTGAAGTCCTATGCTTTTAAGGCTGGAAGAACAACAGTACAGCCAATTATAAAAGCTAAGCTAGGAAGTGGTACCTGTTTGAAGGAGGAGGGAAAGTGTTCAGTTTTTGACATAGTAAATGTTGGTTGTCAGCAGGGCACCCAAGTAAAGGGTGATATGTAGACAACTGAAATACAGGACTGAACTGAGAATAAGATGTAAGTGGGCTGAAGTATGCATTTGAAAAATGAACATATGCAGTGACTCACTGCACAAAAGTGAATGAGGAAAAAGAAAAATATACATCAATAAGAATCCTCTCTGAGATCACCTGAGAAAAATCACACAGCATAGATAATCTATAGCATAGATCATTACCCTAAATAATTTAATATTAATTATAGGTAAATTCTTTGAGAACTATTTACTACATGCCAATGTAGACAATTTAAGTGGGGAAAAAAATGTTCAGATTTTGGCATTGAAATGAAAACATACCACAAAGCATGTTGCTTATAACATCAGACGATATTCACTATTATAAAGAAAGCTGACAGAAGCATAGATTATAAGGAAAAACATTTTTAATAGCTGATTTAAAAGTGACAAGGCAAGCAAAAATACTCAAGAGACTGATTCCCTAAACATTTATTTTAAAATTTGTCATAAGGATAAGAGGCTTAGGAAATGAAATTCTCGTTTTCAACTTCATAATATGCCACAATATACACATATGTATTTTGCTTAGAACGGGATTATACCTTTTAACAAAAGGAAAATGTTAAGTTCTAAATTTTTACTTTCTTTGCAAAAGTTTAACACTAAAATAAGAGAATCAGACTGGATTTTTAATGTAAACAAAATTAACTCATGATTTGTATGTGTTTGGTAATGGAAGGGATCAAGAGCACAAATAATATTAAAAAAAAAACAACTTCGAAGATATTTTAATACTCACATTTGAATATTTGTAATCCTGATGTTCTGGGAATTAACACCATTTCAATTCAAATAAAAAGGTCACATTATGAAGACCAGACTCAGGAAGGTCTACAAAACTATCCACCTTTCCCATCCTACCTCACTACTCAACTCTTTTGTTGTTCCCCAGCCCATGCAAGGGATGGACTCAGGCTGAGCTCCTATCCCCTTTCTCCATCCTCCCCACCCACCAAAACAAAAAAAAGCCCACTTTCTGTCCCAATCACACCTTCTCTAGGGGAGGAGGCCTTTCTTGGTGGCTGAACCAGGGTTGGGGGAGGGGAGACTGTGGTTCTGGTTCAAGGAGACTCCAGAGTGCTGCAAGGTGCAAGTCAAAAGGAGGTAAGAGATTCAGGTCAAATAAACATCAATTTAAAAAAGTATAATTCCCCCAAAGTGGATAATAAGAACTGACTACACAGTACAAACAAATCTTTAAGTAAACACTTATGTGCTATTCACAAACTATCCCTGCTGCTGTGAAAATTATTATTGTTGTTGTTATTAAAACTGGTTATAAAGATTCTATTGCCACATGGACAAAGTCTGGAAGCAGTCACCTGTTATCCAATTAAAGATGGGGCTAGAAGAGGTAATTACAGCTTTTTCATAAGGCCTTTTGCTAAGAGCAAAATAGGCAACATTATAATAGTGGCAGGCTTCCCACTTCAAAAAAAAATCACATATAATTTAGAGATTCTTTTAAGGTGATAAGTTATCTGTGCTGCCATGTACTAAAGATTCAGTTAGAAAAAATTATGTGAAACAAAGTAATGGTGGGAAATATTTTACCTGCATTTGTCACAACAGATCATGTAGCCATCATCATGTGTAAAACCACAAATGCACCTGGTTACATCAGTACCATAGCTTCCATCCTCTGATGTGCTGATGGTGGTAGCACTAGAGGTCTCATCAAAATTAGGAGTAGTAAATATGCCTACTTCATTTTTGCTAATAAGAACTGATGGAGGAGGAGAAGCTGGAGGTGTTGGAGGAGGACGAGCACCATAATTGTGGTCCTGGATAAACACAAACAGCACAATATTATTTATTGGAACACTGAAATGCACTAAGCTGTAATATTATTTAAGATACAATCCTTACAAACCCATCACTTCAATTTGCATATTTATATAAAATCAGTCAAATTCTACTTAAAATACTGACTTGTGTCAGACATTTTACTATCATTCCTCTCTTCCAAAGATAATCTTTTCATAGAGCCTCCAGATTATGCCACTATCACTACCTTATCTTCAGGCCACACCAAAATAAAAAATATAAAATATCCCCACTTGTCACAAATCTCTCCCTTTTGCTCTGCAAAGAGCAGAAATACTATGAAGCCTATACCAGAATTTGCAGCAATAATGTCACAAATATTGCCACATGCCCATATTTTATTACTAGATGTTAAGCTCTGTTTTAAGATTAGGTTTTCATAAATCTATGAATATTCAGATGTTTTTGTTTTTTTCTTCCATTGCTCCTGCTCAAAGAAACAAAATCTCTCAATTATTCCATGGCCTCAATTAGCCTTTAAAATTATAAACTTATCTACTGCTACAAAATCAAGTCAAAGTAGTTAACACTTCAGTATGCAAACCAAGCACATTATAAACATCTTCCCAAAACTAAAGATTTAAAAATTTAAATGTCAAATGATTACTTTTAAGTGCATGACACTTACCGCATAGGGCAAACCAATATAACTGTGTGAATGATGCGAGCTGCTGGTATATAACTGGTGTGGGTAACTGTTGGATTTCTCAACTACCACAGGGCTAGCTTCTACGGATTCTGGTCTGGGGAGAGAGAGAGAAAAGACAACAGAGAGAAAAGAGAAAAGAGAGAAAATGAGAACAAAGCAAGAGAAAGAATAAAGAAAGCAATCAGAACAGAAAGAGGCAAAAGAACGAGAGTGATATAGGAGATGGGTGAAAGACAAGACAGAGGGAACAAGGAATAAGAGAGATACAGAGAGGAAGGAAAAGAAAGAGAAGGAAGAGAAAAGCAGAGAGAGAAGAGGAGAAAAGTTGTATCAAACAGAATTTCCTTTATTTTCTCATCTACTTTAAGTTAGCTCATAAAGGTCCAACATTCATATTAAAATACACTTCTACTTATTTCTATAAATAAGAGGTTTACATTGAATAGCTCCTAAAGAAGAAAGCTTCTACAAATCAGTTGATGTGAAATAACAAAAATGCCTACTATTTAATAGATTTTACAAGGCTCGTCTATTCCATTTGGACCCTAGATGAAATAGGGTACTTCTCTCACCTCATTTGATATGAAAAAGTTACTTAATACCAAAGATCAACAAGACATGGACTGAAGTTTGAACAGCCCTATTGTTATAGGTTCTATACAAAGGGAAAGATGGAAATATTTTCAAATTACAAAGCAGAGGCACTTGAATCATGCATTTTGATGTACCCAACATTAGTGATAAGGATCTATGATACAGGTGGGGAAATGAGTAGCCCCACAAAAGACCAGGGGTTCAGGGCTTTTACTTGGCAAGGAGAAAACAGTAGCTAGTGTTATGGTAATAAGCCTACAAGTGTCAGCCTGTTGGATATTAATAGTCCTCAGCTTCATAGAAGGTATCTGGACTTGGTTGTTGCTGGTAACAGAACTGGGTTTAAAAGGTTATGCAATACAAAAGTTAGCTCCTTGGTTTTAGTTCCTTTAAGGTATCAGGTAAGATTATTTCTTCTGACAGTTTGTAGGTCGCCTAAGGCAAGCTTGGCCAAGATCAGACAGAACTACGACCTTCATTATTACCCAGGTTCTTTGATCCCACTCTTTCACATCATATAATACATTGGTTTCCTCTCTCTGGGTAATCCACATGGCCACCACAACCACCCAGACACAAAGGAAGGTACTGTGTTTTTGTACATGCTATTTTGAAATGGCCCTTTTCTGATAGCCTTTATCTTCTTTCTTTTAAAACATGCTTTAAAATTAATTTCCCGTAGGAAACTTTTAAGAAGAACTATATACCTCCCTTATCTTGAGCATTCCCAGTATTCCCAATACTACTTACACTATAGGCAGTCCAACGTTTTCAAGAGTCTCATTTGCTAAAAACCAATTATATCCATATTATTACAACATTTACCAGTCAGCTTATTCCTTAATGTGCTCCTTGCAAATAGCTCCCTCTCTCACCTACTACCGACACAATACCTCTCTGGGTTTTCTTGATTTAAGTTGCAAATAGCAGCAACAGAAAAATGGCAACCAAAGGGGAATATATAAACTAAAAAGGAAGACTTTATTGTGGCTAGTAAACTGGCTGTAGAGGCCTCTCCAAAATGCTTGTGATCAAATGCTGTTACTGAAATAGAGAACTTTTCAAGGTGGCTATTTGAAAGACTGCAAGACGGATAGTATACCTGCTTTATTAAAAAGAGATGAGTTAGCTAAAGCTTTATTATTTATACTTAATTATGGCTTGTAAAAGATTTAAAAAGTAGTCTCTAAAGAAACAATTTACTATAGGGGCAAAGTGAAGAAATATTGCCAGGATGGAAGGATACATGCTATCTAGCACTCCTGTGATCTTAGAATTTGGTGCCAATCACCCCAAACCTCCAAGACTTTGACCATATGAAGTAACAAGTAGTGAAAGAACTTAACAGATGGTTCACATATTTTAAAGTTAGTTATGCCTTGCAAAATACAGTAAAAAAGTGACACTTACAGTACTATCTATACGTCATTGGAAAAAGAAGACTGTTTCTGAAGCAAAAGAATGACTTACAATTTAGCCTAAGTTGCTACAGAGAAATTTATGGTGGGGGGAAAACAACAATATCAACAACAGAAAAGCAAATCAAACACTGCTGGATTATCTGTCTTACCACCCTCCCCCCCCCAAGCCATCATATGGTCTTAAATGTCTCTTCAAATGCCTATTAAAATTCCCTATTCAAAGACTTTCTGAATTTAATGACCTTAATGACACGCCTTGATATTCTCATTTGTTTAAGAAATCAGGCAAGAAACATAAATTGGATAACTTTTTCAGTTCACTAAAATATTGACTATAAAGTGTGTGATGAGATACTATGTTACCCTTAATTTAACACACCTTTATATGTGTGTGGGTGTATGTATGTACATAAAAATAAAATTTATGGTTGAATTCCTTTGATGTTTGTGGTAGTTTGTATACAAAGTCAGTCCTTGATATAAGAACACAATCCCCTACTCTACAATATTCTGTAGCAAAATAAAAATCAACTTGTATCATTTTGACCTATGCCACCAACCATTTATAAAAGGATTTGAGGGTAGGGGTGGGGAAGAAGGGACAAAAGAAAAGAATAAAGTAAAAAGCACACAGCAGAGAACAAAAGAAAACTTACAAGGAAGCAAAGGAAAGATGTAAAGCTTTGAACACAATGTACAGTATTTGTTATATAGGTTTTCGTGCAAAGGAAATTTATTGTTGTATATTTTGAATTCTCTCATGTTCTGCTGTGCACATGGCAATGCTTTTTTTTTCTTGTGTATTTAAGTTCTAAGTTTAAAAAATTAATAATAAAAAAGATTGTTTAAAAAGGCAAAAAAAAAAGAAAAAAGAAAAGAAAATGATCACCTATGTACTGATTTTTACTTTTAGAGAAAGGGCTTGGTTCAACCCACTCGTTTTATAGGTGAAAAAACTGAGACGCTAGCTTAAGTGATTTGCCCAAATCACAAAGACTACAAACTTCTTGATTTCAAGAACCCACAGCTTATTTCCTAAATGTTTTTATGTTGTATGACAACCACATTTTAAGCTTGAAGGCAGGGGCTTTGTCTTAGGAGACTGGTAGTAAAAAAATCTTTCTCTTCCTCCAAAATGAACCAATATTGGGATAGGAGTTCACCTTATTTAACCATTACTGGTCCTAATACACAATCTTTATTCAATGATAAATGGACCATTACAGACACTCTCACTATAAATCAGAAACTATAAAGAAGCTGCATATAGATGGAAGAATAACTCACATATTCTTTTACAGATGCAAAAGCAGTTACTGAATATAACTGGTCATTTCACTTTGCTAGGTTCACAATGATTATAAGCTAATAAGACAACTATGAAGATAACTGCAGCTGACATACTACCATCTATTACAGAGGATGAAGTAGAAAAGTGAGGCTCTATTAAGAACTTGGCAAAATACTTCAAAATAGATTGTCATAGTTTTTTGATGCTTTGTGACTTCAGTGGGAAAATGGGGAAGTGACTTCAGTAGAAAAATGGGGAAAGGAGAAGAAACCAAAAACTGTGTTGGAAAATGGTCAGGAAATTGAAGTGCAAGGTCTTCAAGACTCAAGAACACAGTACATTCAAGAAAATAAGGTGCTAAGTGCCATAAGCATCAAAAATCAGTAGCAACAGGAAAAAAAATTCACAAACATATAATTTAGACTTTTTCTTCGATAGGAAGTGTGTGGTTCAGTACATAATAGTCAGTTCTTAATCAGTTGTCTTTGAGAAGTTATTAGCTGTTTAATTAAAGCAAAAGTCAAAGTGTAAAAACACTTAGTATAAAAAATTGAAAGGACATTTAGATAGGATTATACGTATTCCAGCTTATGACTTGTTTGATTTTGAAACTGGGACATGGACAAGAAAAAGACACTGACTGTCAAATATAGGATACTGGACAAAACACTAGATTTGGAATCAGGGTACCTCAGTTCAACTCCCAGCTCTGACACTTTGTGTGACCTCTCCAACAAGCCACTTCACTTCTTAATATGCTTTCTTAACTGCAAAATCTAATGGCCTTTTTCTCAGTCCACATCTTTCTTGACTTCTTTGCAGCATCTGAAACTGCTGACTACCATTTTTCTCTTGCACTTTCCCCTTCTGCAAGATTTCGTGGTCATTGCTTTGTTGTTCAGCTCCTTAGTACTTTCTCTTTAACTAGGCAAGTATACCCCAATGTTCTGTCCCAAGTTCACTTCTCTCACACTCTCCCAATAACCTCATCAATTCCTATGACTTTATGATCTCTACACAGATCTCTACATCTAGTCCTACTCTTGTGGCTTCCAGGTCTTTAACACGGCCTGTTACAAACATCTCCACTTTAATCTATCCAAACCAATTCATAAGCCTACCAATCTTCCACACATTCCTATTTGTTGCAAGAACCATTGTCGTCCCAGAAGCTTATAATTTCAAATCATAAACAAATACCTATTTAAATTATAATTATAAAATATAAAATACAACTCCTCTGGCATTTAAAGCCGTTTACAAACTGGCCCCAACCTTCCCTTCCTGTACTCTACTGTCCAGACAAACTGGCCTTGCTGTTCCTCAAACTTAAAATTTAATTTGCAGTCTCTTTACCTTTACACTTTCCATAACCACTTCTTAAAATTCCTGATTTCCTACAAAAATCAGATCAAATACTATCTTCTACATGGGGCCTTTTCCTCATCTACTTGCCCCATCAGGCAATACCCGCTCCTGAAGTTAGCCTGTATTTATTTTGTATATATTCTGAAAGAGGAATGTTTCATTTCTGTCGGTGCATCCCCAGCATGTAGCCAGTGCCAGGCACACAGCAGGCATGTAATAAAAGCTTGGTGTGATTATCCTAATTAATCTTTACAACAACCCTGTGAGGTTAAGAACCATTACAAATATTATTGACATTTTACAGAATGGGAAAAGGACGTCTAGAATGATTAAATGATTTGCCTGTGGTCACATGACTAAGAAGTATAAGTGGAATTTCAACCCAGTTCTCCTTGGTTCAGCACTTTACACATTATACCA